CGGCGGCGCCAGCCCAATCGCGCGCGCGCAGCGGCCAGCTAGTTTTGGCGCGACCGGCGCGGCCGCGGTGGCGACTTGGGCGGGGACAGCATCATGGCAACGTCGACGACGGTAGACGTGATGATCGTGACGATGCTGGCGACGCTGTTGACAACGACGACGGCGCGGCCAGTGCGGGCGCCGAAGCTGATCGCGCTGGCGACGATGACAGCGCCCTCGCGTCTGTGATGAAGGTTTTGGAATGAGTTCGACACGGGCGCGCGGCCGACGCGCGAAAGTGACTGGCATGATTTTATTTGACGCGGATCGTGCCCCCCCCCAGCGCGCGCAAGGGCGTGTGAGTGATTTCGGCATGCGGCGCCAGAGTCCCTTTGGGCAGAATTCCCTGAATATTTGGAAAAGAACCGATGGCTCTTTTAAGATCTCGCAAGAGCGCGACCGCACGCTTTTTTGAACGCTGATGTTGCGAAACGATTTTTACACTATACACATAAAGAATTACTCATATGTTTTATGGACTCTCGGTTTCGAAATCGTTACGGCACCACACAAGTTTTGACTGATTTCGGCATGCGCGCGCGACGACACGCGCGCATTTCGTTCAGTTTTTGGAAAAAACGATTCTCGCGACGGAACGCGCGCAAGGGTGTTCGAACGATTTCGGCACGCGCGTGCGCGAAGCCCGTTCGGTAGCATTTTCTGACACATTTTGATGAACCCATGGTTTTCAAACAAATCCGCAAGAGTTCGCGCGCATTTGTTCTTGAAACTCGTGTTATGAAACCCGGTGTTTTTTGGACGCTATATTTTGCAAACCTCACGAAACCGAAGGGTCTTGAAGGATTTCGGCATGCGCGCGCGACAACGCGCGGGTGTGCATCTCGTCCTTTTGTTTTCGCAAGGGGTTTTTGGAAACTGATGATTTTTGATGCACGGGTGCGCGCGTTTAGATTTGTTTTGCGGAGGATGGCGGGGGGGACCGATACGGGCCCCCCCGGGGTGGTGTGAAGTCATATTTCGGGTGGGCGATGGGGCAGAATTGTATGTAAATTGCGACACGAGAAGCTGAATTGATAATCCCGGCGGGTGGCGTGGGAAACTCTCTATATTTTTTTTGAGCAGGGATAATCCATGTGGGGCCCAGGCGACGGGCGACAACCACGCGGCGACGGGGCGTCGACGGCGGAAGGATAACCGCTAGATCGCCACCGCCGCCGCCCAGACGACGGGCGGCGACGAAGTGGCCGACGGGGCGGCGACGGCGACCACATAACCGCCAGACCGACGGGAAGGCCAAGCGCGACGGTGTGACGACGGCGGCCACATACCCGATAAGTCGATTGGCAAGTTTAGAAGGCGGGCGGCGACGAGGCGGCGACGGCGACCGCATAGCCGCCATACCGACGGGCAGGCCCCTTTAGATCGTTCATGTTTTGTCGTGTCGGACAGTACCGCGGGCCCCCCGGATACCCCGACCTCCCTCGAGGGGACGTGTTCGGGCCGTCTCGTGATAGTCCGGGGGTCCCAGACCTGGAACACAGGAGCACGGGTCCGTCTTCACCGACACTGGCGCCGAAACCGCCCGCGTGAGGCCGCGCGTGAGCGCCCCGGTTTCCAGTGCAGCGTGCCTCGCTGGCGGCAGTGCGTGAGCCATCGCGTGGGGTCTCACCTCGCGTCGGGCCCGCTGCTGTTCGTCGCCCTTCCCTTAGGTTCGTCGGCGGTGCCGGCCTCGGAGGCGCTGGGGCGGAGCCGCGCCAGGAGCGCGCCGCCTCGGCGCGGCGGGCGTCGCGGGCGCAGGCACTGCGGGGCTGACGTGACAGCTCATCTCTGAGACCGCCTCGGGCCCCGGGGCCTCCAGTGATGGGCATATTTTTCCACCACCACTACCACGTGTAGGAGGGGGGAGAAGGGAGGATGAGGAAGGAGGTCCTCCTCCTCCTCCTCCGCCTCCTCCGCCTCCTCCTCCTCTCCTACACATGGTAATGGCGGTGGAAAAGGGGCCTCCAGAGAGCGTCTCAAAGCTGGCGTGCTGGAAGCTTCTCCGATCTGCCCTGCTTCAGATCTTCGGGGCTCGATGGCAGTCGCACAGTTCTTCGAGCGTGCTCCCCTCTGCGTCGACGCCTGGTTGACGGGTCAGGATCTGTAGACATTCCCATTGTCAGAGGATGCGGGGGTGCGGCGTCCAAGAGGGGGGTGACTCTAGGCCTCCCAGATGGGCTCCGAGTAGATGGGGTCGTTGGTTCGCTCTGCATCGCCGATGCATCGGCGATGCGGCTCGATGTGGTGCCCGATTTTCTCCACGCCGATGGCGCCGATGCACCGCCCCACGTCGCCGATGCATCGGCGATGCGTTGCGATCCTCTGACCCCATTTACTCGGATCCCAACTAGGAGGCTCCTAGTGATGACTTCGGGGGGGATATTAGGGCTATGACACCTCCCTGAAAATCAGGCCCCCCCTCTTCTCGTTTCGGCACGTGCTCTGGTCGTCTCGACCCTTCTGTCTTGGGCCGCGAGCACGCCTCGGGTCATGCATGACCTGCTAACCCCACTCTTGGACGCCCCCCCCCCCCCCCCCTCGGCTGCCCCAACCAATAATGCCGCGACGTTCATGCGTGAGATGGGGTCGAGAGGCTGACCGGCCCGAGGATGAGCGTCCCGCGCGGGTTGGCAGGAACCGAAAGGGTCAGGAGTGCCAGATGAGCAGGAGCCTGCTGTTCCCTGCCTCCCTGCTTCGCTGGACTGCTGCAGGGAGGCGCTGGAGCTCTTGCCCAAATGGGGTCCGAAGAGACGGGGTCGGAGGATGGCGCGTAGCGGCGATGCATCGGCGCAGCATCGTCGCTGCATCGCCGATGCGGCTCGATGTGGTGTCCGATTTTCGCCATGCCGACGGCGCCGACGCGTCGCCGACGTCGCCGATGCATCGCCGATGCGGCGCGGTCCTCCGACCCCACTCGGGAGGCCTTTAATCGGGGGTTCGAAGAGGGGGAATTATCCCATGGTGGGGGGTTAGGGAACGGGGCCAGCCTGGGGGTCGAAAAGGGGGGATTATCCCATTGTGCGGGGTTAGGGAACGGGCCCAGCCTGGTGCTCACGTTGCCTTCTCCCAGGGGTCGTCCAGAGAGTTTTTCCTCCAACCCCACATTATGATGTTCCCACCTACCGTAGCCTTGACGATCAGAAATAATTTCGAGCACCAAGAGAGTACCGAAACTTGAGGGTTTTCGCGTGTCGGGCTCTGGGAGGCGATACTCGTTCGACACTGCTTCGACACTTTCCTGGGTGCTCGAAGTCTCTCTGGAATATGTTCCTTACGTGCGATGGGAGCAACATAAACCTTGACGTCCCACCAGTCTAAGGGAGGCGCCGAGTCGGTCTCAGCCTCCGCTGCCACGGCGTCTTCTGCGGAGCGGTCTCCAGAGCTCTCTGCCCCACTCTCCGGGGGGCCGCTGGTCGTCCCTGGGCCGCTTCTTGGCAGTCCTGGGGGCCTCAGGCCGCCCTCCTGGACGCCGAACTCGCGAGAAAGACTGTCGCCTCCTCCTCCACCTCCTCCACCTCCTCCTCCTCCTCCGTCTCCTCCCCTCCTCCTCCTCCTCCTCCTCCTCCACCTTCACCTCCACCTCCTCCTCCTCCCTCCTCCTCCTCCTGCTCCTCCGCCTCCTCGTCGTCCTCCTCCTCCTCCTGCTCCTCCGCCTCCTCGTTCTCCTCTTCCTCCTCCTCCTGCTCCTCTTCTTCCTCCTCCTCCCCCTCTTCCTCCCCCCCCTTCTCCTCCAGCTTCTCCTCCTGCTTCTCCTCCACCTCCTCCACCTCCTCCTCCTCTTCCGCCTTCTCCTCCGCCTCCTCCTCCTCCTCGTCCTCCCGTCCTCCTCCTCCCCTCCTCCACCTTCACCTCCACCTCTTCTTCCTCCTGCTCCTCCGCTCCTCTCCTCCTCTTCCTCCTCTCCTCATCCCCTCCCTCCTCCTGCTCCTCCTCCTCCTCCTCCTCCTTCTCTTCTTCTTCCTCCTCCTCCTCCTCCTCCTCCCTCCCCCCCCCTCCTCTCCTCTTCCCTCCTCCTCCTCCTTCTTCTCCTCCTCCTCCTCCTTCTTCCTCCTCCCTCCTCCTCCTCCTCCTCCTCCTCCACTCCTCCTCCTCCTCCTCCTCCCCCCCCTCCTCTTCTTCCTCTCCCCTCCTCCTCCTCCTCCTCCTCCTCCTCCTTCCTCCTCCTCCGCTTCTCCTCTTCTCCTCCTCCTCCTTCCTCCCCCCCTCCCCTCCTCCTCCTCCCTCTCCTCCTCCTCCTCCTCCTCCTCCTCCTCCTCCTCCTCCTCCTCCTTCCCCTCCTCCGCCATCTTTGCTCCCAGGGGGATCAGGGGCAACGTCAGGGGGGGGCCGGCTCAGGGGGGGGTGCATCGACCCCCAGTTGTTCATTGATCCCCGACTACCCTGCTCAGGAGCTTGGGGATTCGCCATCGGGGGCCTATCGCCGATCTATCGACGATGTATCGCCGATTCCAGGCCGTGGTTCCCCCCCCAAGCCAGTCCCATATTGTTCCCCTCAGGGTAGGGCTGTACAGCGGGAGGGGGGAGGAGGCGCACCTTGGGGGAGCAGGAGCTCGCCGTCGGACGAGGTGGCGTGGTGTGTATGTGTGTGCGCTCTCTGAAGACAGTGTGGAGGCACTTGTCCTGAGAGCGCACAAGGCCACATCCGCCGCAGCCAGAACCTCTGGTCCCCCCTGGCCGCCGGAGGACCCCTCGACCAGCTCCGTCGTCGACGTCGACGTCGACGTCGACGTCGACGACGACGACGACGACGAGGACGAGGACGAGGACGAGGACGGCGACGACCATGACGGCGACGTCGACGAGGACGAGGACGATGACGGCTAGGATGACCACCACGGCGGCAAGGACAACGACGACGTCGACGAAGACGACGACGACGACGTCGACGAGGACGTCGACCACGGCGATGACGACCTCGACTTGGACGACCACATTGTCGACGACGACGGGCCGCCGGGCAGGCGCGCTAAGTACTCCGCGGAGATTGCGCACTTCGAGCTGACGTCGCCGCTGGCACAGGACTTCATCAACCACGCGCCGCCCTCGGCCTGCTTCCCGAGCCTTGCCGCCGCCGCTGTCGTGGCGGCCGCGCCGAGCGGCACCCGCGCCGTCACACGAGGAGGAAGAGGAGGAGGAGGAGGAGGCGGAGGTGGAGGCCGAGGCGGAGGCCGAGGCGGAGGCGGAAGCGGACGAGGAGGCGGAGAAGGAGGATGAGGAGTAAGTAGAGGAAATAGAGGAATCTGAGGAACATTCACAGGAGTCAGAAGAGTAGTACGAATGATAATAATCTTCATATACTAGTAATAGGACTAATACTTTTATTCGTGAATATAAGCGTACTGAGAGTACTACGATTCACAATCACAATACCAATGAGAGCAGTACGAATGCGAATCGGAAGAAGAGTAAGCATAACACGAACACTACTAATACGATTGATACGTATATTATTACGAAGAGGATCATCATATCAAGCATACGAATACCAAACATAATACGAACACTAAGCTCTAATACTAAGAACACGGAACATAGTATTACTAACAATAACAATGCTACTACTATTATTAATCATGATAGGAATCATCAGAGACTAATCTTAATTCTAAAAACAAGCATTATAATACAGTGGGGGACCATGACAAGAAACATTGTACGTTTCGTCAGGGTTCCCTGGGTTTCTTTGGCTGGCGTTCGGCGCGGAAGGTCGCCGCAATCTCGAAGAAACTGCAAATGACAGGGCACCCTGGGTTTGTTGGGCGTCGGTCAGTTTCGGGGCGCGCGCCCGAACCTCCAAGAAACTTCCGGACATTCGGGGTACGTTGGGTCTCTTCGCCCGCCACTTTTGCGCAACGCTTCTTTTTGTTCCCGAGTAGGAGTCGTGGCTTTTCTGTTTGTGCAAGGCCCGCAGCTCGCATTTTCGATCGCCTTGGGCTTGTGATGTCAAAGTGCTTGACGCCATCAGTCAAGAAACCGCTCGGGCCAGGGTGTCCTGGGTTTCTTCGTTTTCAGCCGAAGTTCAAGAAACCCAACCCTGGACCAAGAAACCTCGGCGGATTTCGTGGTTGGGTTTCTTGCGGTGGGTTCCTTGTGCATCGACCCCCACTGTAATAAACATATTCAAAAGAATACTACGACGACTACTGCGGATAATCATATAACTAATATGGATGATTTCAATAAGACTAGTAAGAAGAGGAATAATAAGAGTACAAACAATAATAATGATAATCATGGCAACAGGAGGAGGAAGAGGAGGAGGACGAGGAGGAGGAGGGGGATAAGGGGGGGAGAGATTCGGGCGCTGAAGCCCGCGGCAGTGTGCCAGGCCTGGGTGGCTAGCCTCGACTGTAAACCCGTCCTATTTCCCATGCCTCTGAACATCCATTTCCAAACCATACCTTGTACATTTCTCCGACCACATCCTCTTCCCCTCAGGACACCACGACTGGGCCGACCAACCCAGCGTGGCACCGTCGGCTACGCGAGCAGTGCGATCAAGCTCGAGTACTGCTACGAGTCGCCGCTGCACGAGAGCTCCTGGACCACGACATTCAGTACCAGCTCGAAGCAGCACGCAAGCCCCTCGCCGCGCACCTCAGCGTGCAACAACCACCACGACATCCACCGCAAACTCCAGCCATGGCGACATCATGGGGTGCAGCTGCGAGCAGACCGGGAACGGCATTGCAACCGTGGAGGTCAATGTCGACCCGCCCACGAAGCAGGCCAACTACGCCGATGCCCACCACTCCGGCTATTGGAGCGGGCCTCGCACGCCGGAACAGCCACGAACGGACGGATCGGTGGGCCAAGAGCGCCCCGACAAGAGCTTGGGTCACAATTGCGGTTGCAAAAGCGGCAGCCACAACGGCAGGGGCAGCAACCACAAGTGTAAAGGAAGGGCTGCGAAGGACGACGCCGGCAACTACAATGGCCACATCGCCAACACCATCAGCAAGGTCATGCCCATTTGGGGGATCTGCGCCACCAGGAAGCGCGACTCGGGTCTGCCACCCAGCGGCCCCAAGCTGAAGGACGGTCGGAAACATAACAAGCACACCGAGATTAGGCGGGCCGCAGCAGCCATAACTGAACATCGTGCAGCAAGACTGCTTACTGCAGACGCCGTGGCACGTATCGTCGAGGCCATGTGTCCCTGGCGCAACAGATGGAGGATGTCGAGACAACGAAGCAGACCGCAAGCGCGCCGGGGCCCGCCTGTAACTGGCGCAGGCCAACATGGGCGAGTTGGAGAGCAAATTCGAGGAGCTCAGCATTCTCCAGTGGGACATCCGCGACGCCAAGGACGACCGCTACAGCGACGACGGGACGGCCCACGACGAGTCCGACAGACCCGAGTGGGAGGTCCCCTCTAAAAGGATCTCAACCCCACCGCCAAGAAGACAGGCAAGGGCGGGGCAAACCGCGTAGTGTCAAGACGTCCGCACATTGCTCAGGAACCACAAAGAGGATAACCAGCGCATGGCCTACGACGTCAAGAAGAACAGGATCGAAGCCAACGGCGATCCTATACACATAGAGAACTACCTCCGAAAAGCAGAAAAAGGAGCTCAACGACACCAGCGTCACCAGCACTCAGAAACAACAAGGGCACACAAGTACCGCGACGAGCTTCTGACCGAGTTCCAGAGCGCCAAGCAGACAACCGAGGAGATGATATCGCACCGCGAGTACATGCGAATGCGGACGGATGCAGCGCACGAGAGGACTCAGGAGGAGCTGGAGGAGGCCAACGGGAAAGCCAACGCCGACGGCTCCGAGAGACGCAGACGATGCTCGCCGACAGCAGCGGCGCCCGCGAGAACGTGGAGAAATTACTGAGAGCGACTGCCAACATTGCGGACGAAAGACAACAGTACATTGGCATGACCATCAAGGTCGATCAGCAGATCACCCACGTCGAAGCAAGAGCGGCAGAGAACCGCGCCAAGGATCGCAACGACCACATCTTGTTGTGCAACAAATGCGGCGACGCGGAGAACGGGAGTTTGCAGCCGTGTGATCGTCTGCAACAAAGGAGATGCATATGAAAGCTGCCGTCCACCATGCGTAAGAAGAGCGCCAGCAACTCAATGGGCTACCTACCTCATGAAATCATCGACTGCCTCTACCACGTCCATAGGTCGCCTTCAAGTGCTTGGGCGAGCAGGACATGCGGGGCGCCCAGGTGTGCAGCTTCAACATGGGCGCCAAGGAGACGACGCGGGACGATCCAGGTAACATTCTATTGGCCACAGAGTGGGCGCGAGCCTTGTCCTCCGAGAGCGACGCGTGTCTCTACGACGGAGGGGGCGCTGCATGAGGTGACCGCCCATCGCCGCGCGGGGCTGCGCGCGACCCCCGCCGCCGCCAGCGCCCCCGCCTCCGCAGAGGCCTAGATCGAGATTGCTATCGCCACAGGCGCGATCATACTACGTGGGCAGATCAGTCCTCGAAGCAGCCGTCAAGAAGTACCAGAGGAAAATCGACATCAGGGGCGACGTGGACAGTTGAAAGTTCGCAACTGGCTTCTTCGACAACGAGCATGTGGTAGAAATGGCTTCGACAGAGAGCCTGCAGGGGTGCCCGCTGACACTGCTGCCAAGCAACCAGAAGACAACCTGACCACGCAGGAGGGAGTCTTGTGGATCATTGGCGAGATCCAGGCCGCTCAGCCACATCAGGATCCATCGCGCCGTCCAACCGACCGTGCCGTAAATTCGACGAGCTACCCACCAGCGCAGCTGATCGGGCAGTCAGCAAGAGGGATCAATCAGCAGCCGCGCGACAGCTTCACCAACGCGACAAGACCCGTGGACGCGCGGGCCAATAGTTACACCGCCAACGCTCAGTGACACCATCGATTTATTAGTACAGCACGAGTGCCAAGATACAAGGCACTTCCCACAACGTCTCAGCTGTATTTGAACCGAATGCGCCACGTATAACACGGAGGAGACCATGTAGAGGACAGGCTGAACGAGACACGCGACCGCAACCAAGCGCAAGAGGTACCATCGGAGCCACCACCAACGACTCCGCCAAAAAGCATGGGAGGCGCAGGCGACACTGCAACTACCAGTACGATGACGACTGGTCAAGGCCAGCCCCAGCAGCATCCATGACTTAGGCGCCGTGTTCGAGATGGCCCCAACCCCATACAGGACCAGCGCCACCAGACATGAGATCGGGTAGCAGCCGAAGCGAGCAGGATCTGATCGAGCGCTTGGCAAGAATTTTTTGCACTAGCCAATGCAGCCGCGAATCCAGAGCCTTGTAGTGGCCTCCGGCCAGTGCCGCCGACCCAGGGCGCTCCAGATTCTCGTCAAGATGGACGACGACGACGACAACGACGCTTCTCCTTTTCCTCCTCCTTTTTCTTCTCCGCCTTCCTCCTTCCTTGAAGGCATAGTGGATGCGCCCGGGGGCTTCTTGGGGCCTCATGGGCTCATGGGGACCGTCAAACATTGATCCGGGGAGGAAAACCTGCTCTGGATGGACCTGGGGGGGGCCCGCGGATTGGATGCGGGGGATGATGATGATGATGATGATGATGATGATGATGATGATGGTGATGATGATGATGATGATGATGATGATGATGCCGATGCTGATGCTGATGCTGATGATGCTGATGCTGATGCTGATGCTGATGATGATGATGATCATGATCATGATGATGCTGATGCTGATGATGATGATGCTGATGATGGCGATGATGATGATGATGATGATGATGATGATGATGGTGATGGTGATGGTGATGGTGATGGTGATGATGATGACGATGCTGGCGATGATGATTATGATGCTGATGATGATGGTGATGGTGATGGTGATGGTGATGATGATGATGATGATGATGGTGGTGGTGATGATGATGATGGTGATGTTGATGATGATGATTATGATGATGATGATGATGATGATGATGATGATGATGATGCTGATGATGATGATGATGATGATGATGATGCTGATGATGATGATGATGATGATGATGATGATGATGATGATGATGGGTGATGGTGGGGTGGTGGTGGTGGTAGTGGTGGTGGTGGTGATGATGATGATGATGATGATGATGATGATGATGATGATGATGATGATGATGCGCAAAAGACGACGAGGAGGAGGAAAAGGAAGAGGAGGAGGAGGAGGGGAGGAGGAGGAGGAGGAGGAGGAGGAGGGAGTTGGAGGAGGAGGAGGAGGAGGAATATGAGGAGGAGGAGGAGGAGGAGGAGGAGGAGGAGGAGGAGGAGGAGGAGGAGGGCGAGGAGGAGGAGAGGATGAGAAGGAGGAGGATGATGATGAGGAGGAGGGGTGAGCAGGGGAGGAGGAGGAGGAGGAGGAGGAGGAGGAGGAGGAGGAGGAGGAGGAAGGGGAGGAGGGGAGGAGATGAGGAGGAGGAGGAGGAGGAGGAGGAGGAGGAGGAAGCGGAGGAGAAGGGGGGGGAGGAGGTGGGAACGACGAGGAGCAGGAGGAGGGAGAGGAGGAGGAGGCGGAGGAGGAGGAGGAGGAGGAAGATCCCTCCCCGTCGGCAGTCGGCCCACTTACTCTTGCGCCCTCGCCGGCCTTTTTTCCCGCATTCATTGCAGTTCATTTCCCGCACTGTCCGTCTGCCTGAGGCAGGCCTGGTGCGAAGTTGGTATCTTGCGTTTGCGTTATCACATACCCGGTTTTCATTCATTACGCTACGAGGTAGGAGCTTTGAGTCCGACAAGCCCACAAAAGACGACGAGGAGGATGAGGAGGAAAAGGAAGAGGAGGAGGAGGAGGAGGAGGAGGAGGAGGAGGAGGAGGAGGAGGAGGAGGAGGAGGAGGAGGAGGAGGAGGAGGAGGAGGGAGGAGGAGGAGGAGGAGGAGGAGGAGGAGGAGGAGGGAGGAGGAGGAGGAGGAGGAGGGAGGAGGAGGAGGAGGAGGAGGAGGAGGAGGAGGAGGAGGAGGAGGAGGAGGAGGAGGAGGAGGAGGAGGAGGAGGAGGAGGAGGAGGAGGAGGAGGAGGAGGAGGAGGAGGAGGAGGAGGAGGAGGAGGAGGAGGAGGAGGAGGAGGAGGAGGAGGAGGAGGAGGAGTGGGGGGGAGATCTTCAGGACGTTCAAGCATGTTCTTGGACGTTCTCATGACAGAGGGAACGGATGGGAGGAGTATGGGGGCAGGTAGGAGGGTATGCGCGCGTGTGGAGGTGCAGGACAGGTCTCGGCTTCTGCGTGCGTGAAGGTGGCTGCAACCCCCCAAGCACAGCGCCAGGCTCGGCAGCGTCGCCAGGACCTCGGGTGCAGCACTGCCTCCTGGAGGCGCCCAGACCTGCAATGCCGCGAACAGCAGCGAAAATGTTGCCCTTGCGCTTGGCACCGCAGTTGTGGCGTCGGGGTCTGGTGCACGGGCCCTGGGGGCGCCACAGCAAGTGGCGGACGGCGACAGGCCGGTCCCTTGTCTTAGTATCGTGGTGAGGACCCTCCAGGAGCCTTCTAGATCATCTCGCGAAAAACACCCGAAATTGAACAATTCTCGGGGAATGGGTGTCCGAGCGATGGCGAGTTGGATGGGGGGCGAGATCTCCAGGGACCACGTCGCCAAATGATCACGATGCTGAGGGTCCGGGCGGCTCAGCCTGTGAGGTGGGAGCGTCCGAGCAGGCCACTCGTGCCGCTCGGGAAACGGCGACAGCGAGTAATCATATTGGGGAGGACAGCGCATAGGATAAAGAGAGCTGGCAGTGTGCAGCGCAATCAGCCGAGGGGGAGGGGCAGGGTGACGCATGTGGCACTGGTGGGGAAGCAGGGGGGCAGCTCCGACGCAGTGCGTCCAACGTCACGAGAGATGACACGGGAGTCTGCTCGCAACTTTGGCCTCGGGAGGCCCCTTTCTGGCCCTGGTGGCCAGGGATGTGTGAAGCCAAGACCCGCGGCGATTGGGCCAGCGGGTACAAGCCAGGCGCTCGAGCGCCTTCTGCGCGTGGGGCCTCTTCCGATCATTGAGAACAAAATGACCCCTCACCCTTATAACACGATGAAGACGTGGCCTCACTGAGGTTCCCGTTTTCACATTCGGGATCTTGCATCTGGGAGCTTTGGCCTGGCACTTCTGCAGAAAAAGACCCCCTGTCCCTGATGTCCCTGGCCCTTCTCACCCGGGCCCCCGCCCAGAGGGTTAGGGGCTCTCTCTTGGCGCATCCCCCGACTCAGACCACCTGCACTCCACCGGGCAGAACAGCCCTGGCGATGCCGGGCGCGGGTGAAATCTATCAGCACCGTGCTCGTGCGGGACGTCTGGTGGGCCACCTGCCGGGGCGCGGCGGCGACCGCGTCTCGCGGCCTTCTCGTGGTCTGGGCCGGAGGGCTGCCTCTCTCTCTCGCTCCGGGGAGCGGCGCGAGGGCGCGAGGCGTAAGCGAGCTCCGCTCTTCGCGCGGCGCTGTGCACGCGGAGTCGGGCGACCTGGATCAACACCGGCCTCGTGCTGATGTGCAGCCCGCCCGCAAGCCTGCGCCGCTCGCTTCTTCTGGCGTGCATTGCGCGGGCCGGCGTCAGCAGTCTTCCAAGGTGTTGGACAACACGTTCCGAGCGAACGACG